ATGAAACACATCCTTGACTTTGTCTTGGTTTGCTGACTGCATTCGTTTCTGAATTCCAGCCAGAGCAACGTTGTCATCATCGGAGTCTTCACTGTCATATCCGTTCACCCCTGATAACAGTTAAAAAAAAAGTTTAAATTTTCAGAGCAAAAATACTGTCCATCAAACACAGTTATAACCTTGAAAATATTATATTCTTATGACTTTGAAAATCGGGGCCTTGAAAATTGGAAACTGTGACTTTTTTTAAATTGGTGATTTCTCTATGATCTTTCCCATTTAGTCAAAATTCTTTATATTGCTTTTCGGTGCAAGTATCTTTAGTCCATTATTACCAAGTTTATTTGGAATCCTAAATCTTTAGTAGATGATTATTATATGCACTAGGCTGTTTTACGATTCTTTATAGCGCGTCAAAAGTGGACAACTGAAAACTTCAAATTTCCACCATTTTCTCATTTTCTGAGAGTAGATGTTCGGGTTTTGTAAAGTTGGGAGTGCTACGGTCGTTTCCGTTTTTAACTTGTCCACTTTTGGACCACCTCGTCGGCAAAGTAAAATCTGAATTTCTGCTATGAAAATTGTGAAAATGGGTGGTGCAACTTAAAAAAAAAGAACATCTACTAGCAGAAAATGAGGTGGTCCTTTTTTGACGCTCCATAGTCGACAGTGTACGGATTCCAGTTGTCAATCTTCTCCAAAGGGTTTTAGGTTTATACACCAAAATCATTTGGAACACGATTTCAAGAATAAACAACTTATATGTACTTACGTTTCTTTTGGCAGCTGCTTTCCATTTTCCACTGATCAATGTCGCACTCCTAAAAAGTACAGTGGTTGTAAAGTTCAGGGACTTCATGTATTGAGGGCTTGATTGCATGAATGTGCATGCATCCCGAAACGTATGTGCACAAGTGCGATTATTGGATTACTGTTCAAGCATCGGTGAGCTTGCTGAAAGGGTGAATGATGTGAAGCGTGGCCACTGGACAAACGATGCCAACTTCTTGTTTTTTAATCACACAGTGTTTGACCCACATGAAAATGATTTAGTTTGTAAAACCAGCCAAAAAGATGGAGTACAGTTTGAGTCCAATGCGATGCGATCATACATTTAGCCCTGTCCATGGAGAAATCAGCATCTCTCCGATTAGACTGGAGCTGCTCAGTCCTGATCAAGCTGCAAAGTGTCCAGCATCAAGGAAGCGACTGTTTGACGAAGTTCCACTTGAAGCACGCAGTGCCTTCCCAAAAAAGCGTACAACCAGAAATACGACGAACTGGTGCCGACTGTGGAGGCTCACTTCTTGACCATGGATTTGCTGCACACAGAAGAAGGTCTGAAACCTGGTCATCAGTCGGAGTGTCTGCCGAGAGGTTACGAGAAAAAGTTGCAAGGGAAATCCCTGGGCTTGCGGCATCAGTATCTGCGAGCACTGTCAAACGGCTTTTCGTTGCTCCTATTAAAAAGCACAGAGCATCCAAGTATTACCACGGCATTATTGATGCCAAAATTGGCATCAAGAAAAACGACATCGGAAAAAGTCACCCTGCATCTCATTTCTGCCGCACCTCTGTAAATTACGCATTGGAGATGGCTGCTTGCTTTAAAAACGAAGTTACGGTTTGGTCAGTGGATGACAAAAACAAATTACTTTTAGGAGGAGGACCCTATGTTGACCGGAGGATGTCCTTCAAAACCTACTTCATGAAAGACGATATGATACATTATCCTGACCACAATTTCGCCACAGGGTATAAAATCATTCCCAGCGGTTATATGGAGTTGCGGAAGCAGTCAACAAGTAAACTGCGGAACCAACGATCAAGATCTGAAAGTCCAGAGAAAAGGCGATCAACATCTCTCCTATCTTCACATGAAGATCCCCTTCCACTCCGTGAAAGTTGTGTTGATGATGGGGCAACTGTGGCGGGATCTTGAACTTGACTATTTAAATATCGTAAGCTACGCACCAGGAGATAGCTGGTTCAACATGATTGAGCACAGTTGGGCTCCGCTCACGATGTGGCTAACAGGACTTCAGCTGCTGGCTATAGTTCCCGGAGAGCAGAAATCTCCAGAAGAACAAACCAACCTGTCCAGCAAGGAAAGACGACGCAAGGATGCCGCTGCTCTAGACGTTGCAATTAGTGATGTTCAGCGCTGCCTCAAGGGGAGAATTTTTGACTCTTTTCAAGCTAAAACAGTTCCTGTCAAATCTGCATCATCGCACATCTACAGTGACGAATCCACCATTGATGAACTAACAGACGCAAGCAAGAAGAAGATCTCCAGCGGTGATTCACTGAAAATACTTGCTGAGGAGTACAAATTCCTTTGCAAGCATTCTGTGCAGCGGTCCCATCAGTTGGAATTTGTCAAGTGTCAAGAAACTACCTGTCGTCATTGTTCCAGCAAACCTATTCGAGCACGCACTCTCATGACATTTCTTCGGGAGTTTGGGGGTGGGTGTTGTTTTACTCCCCAGCCATCAGACAAGTATCCGGGGCACTACAAGACATGGGAAGAAATGGCGTCTCTAGCAACAGCGGGTAAACTCAAGAAAATGGATCTGGATAAGGGCTCAGTTCAAGTTTACAGGGAGAACATCGCAGATGCAAACATGGCTGCAGAAAGGTGTTTCAGAGCAGAGCCGTCAAGGATCGCCACGACAAAATTCTTCACTAGCAAGACATCAGCAACAAAGGAAAAGCCAACTGCTCTTTTCAGAGCCACCATATTTCAAAAAAGAGATGGATTTGCTGTCAAATAAAGATCCAGAGGCCCTCCCCCAAAAGTCCTTTACGTCTTCCCATAAAGCATTCCTTTTCTATTTCCGATTAAAATACAGCCCCGAACAAGTCAGCTAGATGAACAGTTTCAGAGTAATTTCTTTTTTTTTAAAAATCAAGCCCTCAAACGCAAAGAAAAAGTTGAAAACAACACAGAAAAGTCCTTTCACCATTGCAACGAAACCTTTTTACCCCTTTTTTGTACTCTCACGATCAAGTAAAAAAAAAAACATAAAAAATTGCAACCCCTGAAACAACCCCTGATACAAAAACATTCATTCTTCAATTCGTATAAAAATATGTTCTTTTGGGGGGAGCGCATGTACCAAAGGCCCAAGCTCAAAAGAAACGACGCAACAGGAGTAATTGCCAATTGCTGAATTATTAATGTCGCTGAAAAGAAAACTACTGCACCCGCCAATGAAATTGTGCGCTTTAAATTACGTATTCCTGCCGTACATAGGTATCCAATCAAAATGCTTCCTTTCGACATTCAGCAGCTTCATCAATACGTCTGGTGAGAGGTTTCGTAAATCAAAAAGATGGACGGAAAATAAAATAGACACGTCTCTCCGTGACACAATTTGTGCTGGAAAGACTACTTACATGTACATTGGGAACCTCCAGTTGATGGTTTTTCACATTCATGCAGGTACACGTCATGTACATGCCGCGGGCTTATTTCGGTGTTGTTTCATTGTCATCTGTTTCGTCCAACAGTCTTGAAGGTCCCTGGCATTGTTCATGCTTTTATTTCTATCTCACATGTGAATCGAATATATTTTCATGTAGCACTGAGGTTCATTATTCTTAACAAATCACAACATATTTGATCAATCGTAACAGAGGGACCCTTTTCACATCAGCCACGATCATGTGGTCATGTCCATCACACAAACATCGCTTAAAACACAATATGATCTTTTCATGCAATACACCAAAAACACTGCAAAGCGTTTCGCCTTGAAGACAATGAACAGTTCCACTAGGTCCTGTGAATTCTGTAGAAACGAAAGTAAAGCGTATACATCACTCTTCCATGAGATGTGGTGGCTGGTTTAACAAAAGAACAGAAATGACTCATACATGAGCCCGTTACTGAGCCTATTTGAAAGTAAAATTATTTGGGTGTGTTGTCTTCCACACGCAATATTACAGAGTGAAAGAATAGGCAACTGAGGACTGCACGCATGTATAAAACCGAAGCATATTTTCTTGAACATTATAGATGCAACAATCACGGGACTTCAAAATCAATCTAAAAAGTAAATAAGAAAAGTCGAATAATGTTGGTATTTGGGGGCAGTCTGGCAAACTGAAGAAAAAAAGTCTGTAATATCCATGTAAACGGTAGTGCAAACCCCTCCCCCAAACACCCTAAACAATGTTGACATATCAATGGGCTGGGGTCCCAGCTGTTGGTGAACAGCTCAATGACTCATCCACCAGCCACAATGAATGTAATCCCTAAGGCCCCTATTGTTACAAAGAATCACCCTGGAGCGGTGTTCATCGAACCGCAAGCCATTTTGCTACAGACCCCGGTATGTTGCCCGCTTTACTCTAAAGCAGGTAAGGAGCTTATCGTTTGTCCATCGTGTCCCACTTCATGAACCATTTCTATTTTGACTTGGTGCCTTAATTACCCTGGGAACTTCACTCATGTTTCATTTGATTGGATTGTCCCAAATCAATCCAACCCTAGGACATGGACATAGGTGTAAATCAATAAATCTAGAATAGTCATCATAAGGCTTCATCTGCCTTCTCATTCTATTTATAATCAAGAGAACTTTTAAGTGTTTACATTACTTAAGAATCATGCAATCATCTGCTCAAAACCCAGCCTTACATTGCCTTATGCATACTTTGCCTACCACAGACAAAGTGCAAATTGCCTCTTCCATACAGGAGTTGGTAAACTGAACTGACCAGTCATATTCCAGGATTCCCCAGTATGGGAAGTGTGAGTGACTCGGCTTTTTCTAGAGCCAAAACATACATACCTAAGGTTAATGATTTCATGACTAACTTGTAGTTTATGTTCCATTACAATTTGCAGCTGACCTAGATTTCTTCATAACAAAAAAAACAAAAACAGTGATTATTGAAAGACAGTGGTAAATTATGGTTGGTTACAGTGGTATAATTTTAATTTTCAGTTGAGAAGCTCAATGTTTCTTTGACACATCATATTTTCTTTTCAGGTTCTTCCTGCAGTGCCGATACAGAAAGCGAAAGAACTGTTGGAGTTGCCTGGAAGAACAGGTAATTATGTGTACATGTATATATGTGAGCATACAGGAAAATCAATGCTTTCCCAGAGGTGGGATCAAGTAGTATTAAACTTTGGAGATAGATTTCACATAAGCATTAGTTGTCACTGAGACTCTGTAGACCAATTGTTCCACAGACTATTGATTGTACCCAGCAAATGACATGACCTATAGTGTTGCTGATGTTGGGTATCAATTAAACATCAACAAAAATGGCATCCTCCCATAGCAAAGTGTATCACAAGGGTCATTTACTGTCGAGAGGGTGGAATAAAGATGGAACACGGAGGTGGCTTGTGTGGACTAAGTCATGTCTGCATGTTTATTCCATAAAGTGCCCGCATGGGCAGACATCCCCAGTGCGCATGCACTGTACATATATACAGGGTTATGAATATTCATATATCTCTACATTTACCAAAAATAAAGTTGACAGGTGGTACAGTTCTCAGACTGCTGATGTGCTGAGTGCTATCACGAAAATAAGCTTTTGTACTGATTTCCCACAAGTGTAGCTGGGAGGGTAACTTGGATTTGCCAGCCAGCTTTAACCACTTCAAACAAAGAACACACAGCCAGAGGTCAGGGCATTGGATTCCGTAAACACTTTATTCGATGCGATGAACTGTGGAAGTAAAATGTTTTAACAATCATAAATCTTTGGAACAGTTTTAATATATGTGACTAAATCAATAAAAGTAATAATACTTAAAATGTAATCTGTGTGCACAATACAGCCCTGCAACATATATCCTACCTGCCAGGTAGATTCTTAAATTAGATAAATTAGAAAAAGCTGGAGAGCTCAACAAACAGGTACATGTACTAGTGTAGGGACAATTAATAATCTCAAATCATGAAAATTCAGAATCCATTGTTCTCAACAACAGCTAACATGACTTTAACTCTAGAACTATCTTTATTTTAATCCGGGGATAATAAATAGGGCCACACCTGGGGCCCGTAAGTCTAAAAGAAACATATATCACAAATCGTCTTGTTTATTATACCTAACTTGTTGGCCTAAACTTAAGACGTGCAAAAATAAGCTTACAAGTTGTGGCTTTACAGCTTTCAAAATCTCAAGAAAACAAACGTAAGTTACATGACTGTGTTCCCGGATAGGGCTCTTAAACAATAATGGTCCATGGCACTATGTATGGTGTGATCTGAAGAAAAAAACTTTGAAAATCTACTGAAATTTAGAGCAAAGCATGTGAGAAAATGGCTGTCTGGTCAACGAACTTTCTCCTGACTTCTGTATGGGAGTCTTAAATAGCGCCACAACATGCTGCAGAGTAATTTCTGAAACAATACTGTAAACTGTAAAGGGTGACACAATGATGGCCAATGGGTCCTTCACAGCTTTTTTTTTTGGGGGGGGGGAAATATCACTTAAAACACACTTTTCTATGTGCAGGATGCCATATTTGTTGAAAGCTGATACCCACTATATGGCACGTGACTTGAATGGCATGCAGTTTACATATATATACCCAGAGGTCTAGCAGAGGTGCGCTGCTTTCAAAAAGAATGGCAACAGCCTCCTGTAATTCCTGTGTTCCCTACTCCAGTTGTTTTTTCCTTGAGAAAACTCACATTTGGTGAAATTCTTACAAAAACAGACACTAAAAAAGTGCATACCATGTACCAAGTACATTTTATCCATGTTCATTCTTGTTTCTAAACCTGTATATCATTTTATGAACTCTTGAAGAAAAAAATTTCAATGTGCTCCACGTCTTAATCCAAAGTTTTTGCTATGAATGCATTGTCATTTACGTTTATTCACTCAGCAATCTTCGTCCAATGAAAACTTTCGTCTAAGCTCTCCAAGGCTTCAGTTTTACAAGGGAATAAAAGTGTGGTGGAGCATGTTTATAACGGTGAAGGGCCTGGTTGCCAATAATGGCCTGAGCCACAGGCAAGGGCCATTTTATTTCAAAATCTCACAAGAGATTCCGTGAGATTCCAGTTGCGCATGCGAGGGCATATCATTGTGCACAGGAAGAGCAGTAACTGTTCATCATTTTTGCATCGATAAATTTACACCAGAATTGGCCTCTTTTCGAAGTAAATTAGTACACAATGTCCGCGACACGGCCTCTCTGCCACACGCCGAAGTTTCACCCACGCAGATCGATGTTTCATGGCCAAAGAATGACAAATCTTCATCAATTGAGGTTCGCACTTTGGCGGCAAAGCCCGCTGATGGCGCTGTGTGGGAAGTTCATGTCCGGCAACCGGGCACATCCAAGTCGCAGGCGGCAATCACAAAATCATCTAGCCAGGCAAAACTCCCACAGGATCACTGAAATCCAAGACTCCATCATAGCTAAGTGAAACTGCTAGTGATGTTAGTCACTGCATTGCTCGACTGGAAGAGATTGTCAAGCAGCAGGCGGCTGACAATGACAGCTTCTGACAAACCATCGTAGCGGCTGTAACAGGTCAACTGGCACTTATTGATGATAATGACAATGATGCCAGCACCAGTTTTCCAGATCGTGATTCCACTAATGTAGATTTTGCAAACACCGACTCGCCAGTATTGGCTTCTATCGAAAATGACCAAGGTCCTTTGTTGGAATACCCTTCTGACATGTCTGAGGATAGGCCTACTACTGCCACCTGCACTGCCACTACCAGTGACCATGACTCAAGACAGTCAATTGTCCCCAAAATTGCAAGGTGCTTGTTGTGCCCGAAGTCACTCCCCAAATTTGGGAAAATACCAATGCGAACTCAAGGTCTCGTGACCTTAAGCTTCAAAGAGTGCAAAGCTGCTGATCAAAGGCATCACTACTCTGGCACAAGCTTGCAATGGGCCATGCACTCTTGAACAGGAACATGGGTGCTTACTTTATAGCCACAGCCAATTTTGAACTGAACTGTCTGCAGTAGGAACTGATCAAGCCCAACTTCAATCTAAGATATGCACATTTGTGCAAGCCATCCAATAAAGTTATGTCCCAACTATTTGGCAAGGATCTTGGCAAGCAGATCAAGGAAATGCAAAAGGCACAAAAGGCCACATTTGGGGTGCTGAAATATGCCAAGCCGGGACAAGGTCGCAGCAGGTATCTACCATATCCTAAGACTACAAACAGCAGACTCCAACTCCAAGCAGCCTTGGTGGGTTAGAAAAGCAGCTCAAACCCTTTCTTAGGGGGCAGTCAGAACTTCTCAAGATACAACAGGGGAAAGCCAAATCCCCCTCAGTTCCAAGGTCAGAGATGCAAATCGTCCAGCCTACAACTACGGCAGAAATTCACCGAAACTTCCTCAGTTCCAACTAAGAAGTAGACGAAAAAAAAGCCAAGTACAGCAGAACAGGTGGGTAAGTTTCATCCACAATTTAGGCTGTTGGGGTCATATGTCAATGAATGGGAAACCTAACTTCTGATCCAATTATACTACAGGCTGTATCTAGATACAAATTGGAATTTGTTGATAATATGGACTGGTCAATAACACAGACTGGCCAATATAACACAAAGTAGGCCACCAATGCCTTACAAATTAAAGGCTGAAGAAGCTTTGTCAGTTGACATGGACATTCAACAACATCTTCAGAAGGATGTCATTGATGCCACATTGTTTAGGCGTGCGGTCAAAATACAGACGGTTTAGAAACAGTTTAACGGTTGGTGTTAATCCCCCTTCATTCCGTTCGTCTTTTGGTGTTGGACAGTTCAACGGTTTGAAAAGAACCGTCTGACCTGGACGGTCTGGCTTCACGAGCAACCCTGACAACAATGGAGTTTGTGGCTTACACAGCCATGGTTGTGAACAAAATATCCTATTCAGGGAGAACTTCATTGGCCCTGGTCAGCCTTCCTGGGCTGGCCGTGAGGATTAGTGGTTAACGCCTTGTGATAGGAAGACACAAAATCAACTGCATTCCAGGCTACAGACATTTATCTAGCTTCAGATACGTTTTGAGTGGGTATTTCATGACAAAAAATCATCGCCCCAAGATAATTGTTCGTGTTTAAGCGTTTTTTAGACTGGAAAATAAATGCGTCTATATGGGAGTGACGGGGAATGCCAAACACAGTTGCCTCATTTTACCGCCTAATCTATCGTCTATTAAAGGAAATATTCACGTAGAAGCAATGTGAATTTATTTGGAACTTCTGTCCCGTGTACCATATTCTTTGAAGGTAATAAAAAAAATGTCAAACTCCGCATCAAATAGTGCTGCAAGTATGTGTTCGGTTCAGACAGGGCTTGGACATTTTTTGCCGAACTTCGGATCGGTTGGGTTCGGACATGTACACACATGTACAAGTACAATGCACACTGAGACATGAAAGGCTTGCTACGATCGTGCTGCAAAGGCCTATAAAGTATTTCTACGTGT